CAAATCCAAAAAGAAGGACAAATTGTTTGGTAGAAACACATTTCATCTGTGCATGATATATTATAATATATCTACTAAATTCCCTAGGATTAAATATAGAAGTGACAATAGACGAAGTGACGACAATGAAATAATACATCTTTTATCTTTATTATGAACATCTGCAGAACAATCGATTTAGATTTTAGACCAGGATTATTTGGCCGCTCTTTTAATCATCGTCAACATTGCTGCCGACATTTTTTTCAAAAGGCAAGCTGCAAGAAATGTCTTTAAAATTGTAAACTAAGTGAGTGTACTAAAACAGACTCAGAGGATGCTTTTGGATATTCTTGCCTTACTTCCTTAGTAAAAAAATGGTTTTCTTTTGGGCATATTCTACTGACGTAATTTTCTGCCAAAATAGAAACTTTAATAAATTGCGAAATACGAGGTGAAATGATGTAACACCTAATTGCAGAACAAAACGATAAACCCCGTGTGTATGCTATCACGACGCAATATATTGCTTGTCATATCTATAATGATAGTTGTCATGTGTATAATGATAATCTACTGACTTTGAAATTTTCTTAACATATCAAACGCTGTTGATAATATCATAAAAGAATTTTAAATATTTATCCCGCGAAAAAAAGAGGACATTTTAGAGCGTCCTTGGAGGACGTAAATTTTTTAACGGCAGAGGAGGGCGAATACTCCTAAAGGAGGACGTATGGTCACCTTATCTCACTAGCATTCATATTCGGGATTGTTTAAAAATCATTCTCTTATATGTATATTTATGTATAACTTATCTCACCAGTTGTGCTTTTTATATTCATATTTTATGAAAATGATGGACTTCATCTCTGCATTGTATTTTGATGTAATTTACATTTCTTATTTGTTATTTAATTGCCTCATATCTTACTTTTGACATTCCCTTGCAAACAAAAATTTGATCATTATAAAATTCTAGAATGTTCTACATTTACATTTAGTCATCTGAATTTGTGAATCTTAAACATAATAGTGTGAGGGGGGAGTTGACCGCGTGGTCGTATCTCTCCCTCCTGTCCATACTAAAATATATTATTGGTATTATTTCTATTATTACGATGACTGCTGTTTTATTTTGGGTGCCAAAATATTAAATCTCTCTCTCTCTCTGTCTGTCTCTCCTCATTCGATTTTTAGTTTTCTATGGAGCCTATTTTGTTAGTATATATTGCCGACCAAAAGATAGAAAGCCAGTTAGCAATTTAGACTAGCCAAGCCCATTATTCGACTTCGCTAGTTGCCTAAGCTAGCCATACCACTATAGTTAATTCAGTGACATTAGTGATGTAACAGAATGATTTTTCTGGTTATTTTTATGACAAAACAACATTGAATGCAATTTTTTTGTTTACCTTCCTAAAAATGCGACGCGAGCCACAGATAATTAAGCGACGGGCCACATGTTCACTCAGATTGTTTCTTTGCATGAACAATTTGTAATTCGAGATGATACAGGCGGTGAGTTTTAAATTTACATCCCTTAGGTGGCGCAACACGGAAGTGTTATTTTTGACCACTGTCCCACAAAGTTAAGTATAAGTTCATTTTGGAAAAGCGTATACAGATTACAGAATAAAACAATGAACACAACAGAAATTTGAAAAATCGCTAAAACGTCTAATAAGGTTTAAAACAAGTAAAAATATATTTGCCAGTTTACCCATATATATTACAAACACAAACATCTATAAATACAATTCGTGCCCAAGAAAAATAAAGATGAAAACGCGAACGTGCTGTAGTGTACAAGGTGCAATACAGTTAAAAATGCCTGACTGTTTCTTCTTGCTAACTTCCAGAGAATGCGGGTGTGTAAAATGCGATATCCAGCAGGTATCGCAATGAAAAGCAGTTCATGTTATACGAATACTTTTTTTCGTTGCCCATCATTTTAAATGTAGCCTACGTTTGCAAACTGTTCCTAAGTTTTGTAATAGGTTTGCTTTCAAGTTCACTGACTGAGTTGTTGTTTTCGTCGGCGTCTTAGAACCGCCGACAGGTCCATCCTGCAAAACGTCGAATCGTTATGTTATCAAAATTTGAGGAAATATCTTTCGTTGAATAACTTGTTGATTCAATTGGCCTAGCGGTATTTAAAATGTTCGATCCTATAGGTTTAGGTGGATGTTCTACTCCATTCCTGTATCCCGCTACGTCGTATAATCCGTAAAATACGATATAACCACTTAACCGATTAGGCGTCTTTTCACCAAAGTACATAGTATTATTTATTGTATATGTTATATTGTACAAGATGTATGCTAAAAGGTAGCACCCAGTCTACCTTTATTGGACACGAAATGTACATTTTGTGATTGTTTTGTTATTATGTTGTTGTTCTTGTTGGTATTTTCTTCTTATTGATGTGAAAAAAAATCGCGTTTCTCATTAACTACTAATTGCTCTGATATTTTAGGTGGTTGAAGATTGTATTTTTTGCTAGAAGGCTATCACTTTTATTTATTTTCAAAACCTTTCTGTGGGCTTTATGTGATTTCACTTTGAAATTTTGCATGATGACCTCATAAAAATTATATGTATCGGTTCTGCAACCTTTTTCGCGCTACGCCAAACGCGGAAGTTTTTTGACCTTACTTCACAGCAGACTGGGTATGGTAATGTATAAAGTAAGGTAAACTACTGCTTCGCTTTAGCCTTCGTGCTTATATATTCGAGCATCGCCCTCTTGTATATTATGTCGTATATCCAGTGATGGGAAGTGAGTTGAATTATTTATCTCTAAAAGTGCGCATATAGCAGGAAAACTTACTCAAATTTATTCCCTTTAACACCATTCATCATAAAAGGAGAGTTTACCAAAGCTGCTTTCATTATCATTTTAAGTCTAAGACATCAAAAACTAAGTGAATATGGCACACCTTCATAAACATCTTCTATATTGTATTGTAAAAATGATCGAAAATAAGATAATTCAGACAAAATCACATTCGTTTACCGATCAAGAATGTTTTCTAGAACCGTTGATTTTACTAGACCAGGGCTTTCCAAATATTTTTAGCTTTGCACCCTTTCCAATATATTAAAATGTTCTGTGACCCATGTCAATTCGGCATTTTAGGAAAGCGCGGCGCTTCTCTGATCCTATGTATTCTCCCGAAATCGTGAAATCGTGAAATGTTTTGCACTAGTTTTAATAGTTGTGCTTCGATTCAAAATACTGAACAAGTACAATAGATATAGTACTTTGTGTGAAATTGGTGTACGCTTTACGCTCCCTAAAATTCGTTGAGCCCCAGCCCAAAGGGGGTCATATATATTACCGGGACCTTCATTTTTCTCACTTTTATTTTCCATGAATTGCAGGAGGATTCAGAATCACCTACAGCCCTACAAGATATATTATTGCACATTATAACCGGGAACCTAATTCTACATATTATGGTGCTTATGGGCGGATTGTAATAAATTAATAAACACGACACCTATACTTACGGGTTTTCATTAATTCGATATTCTGATGAATTATCTTAATGTGGAATTTTAGTCAGTTCTTAAGCATTTTGAAAGCAGAATACTGTACATACAGCATACGTGAATGCTATTAACTAAATAGGAAAAGTATGCAAGTAGCGTATTGCCTGACACTAGCACGAAAAGGTTGAAATCGTTGTCACGGGTTAAATATGTGCGAGAGGATTGCCGAACTCTCGGTGTCTCACGTAGCCGTTGTCGGATTGGTAGAAGGGACGTCCAACAATATACCCTTTAAAACACAGGTTGCCAAAATCATTTTTGGTAAACTATGTCCAAGGTCAGATGAGCGTAGAACCGTTTACGTGTGAAATAATGTACGGATTATTTTATTTATTTATTGAAAACAGAAACTCAGGTACCAGTATCATTAGAACGCTTTTCTCACTCGTTTCAAAACGCTGTTCGTTTGCGCTCTTCTGTCTGTGAAGAGTAGAGTATGAACAAAACAATGTTTATTTACACTTGTAACAATTTTCAATTCCCTGAAAAAAAAGACGCCAAATACGTAATACGGGATTTAATTTAAAAACCGACGCTTTCGGCCGGCGCTGCTTCAAAGGTACAATGCCAAACTTGGTCAAAATTATTGATTCCAACAATTAATTTGTGAATTGGGTAGAGTGAAAGTATATAAAAGATGTCCGATCTGAAAATTTTCAATGAAGTTTCTTTGAAAACACAACTCGTTCCCAACTACTCGCGTTCATATTTTCAAATGTCACACAGATCCTATTTTATTGTTTTTGTTTTGCAATGCTTACATCAATTTAAAAGCGATTAAAGCGGATGTTATACTAAAAATAATCGGAAAGCGGTATACTTAACAAACATTTTTTCAAAAGATTCGAATGTGAATGTAACGTTCTTTTATCACTCACCGGAAATTTCTGAATTCTGAATTTCGAAAATTTAATACTAGGAATAATAAATAAATCAGTTTTCGGAAGTATGGCTCCACCAACAACTCTACAATTTCCGGAATTTGTTTTTAAGGTCGCCAATGGAAAGCGAGAGAAATAAATATTTAAAAACGAAGCGACTTTTGCAGTGAATGAACTGACAACATGTTGCACATTGTAAGTAATTTGAAAAGTAAGGAGTTCTGTAGCACCGATCAAGATTGGTGAAAACAATTGGCCATATATATATATCAATACCCACCCCATAAACATACTCAGTCAGTCTGGCTATATATGACGCTTAACTATAAAAATAGATGAAATACGTAGATGATTGCAACCAGTTTTGTGATGTAAACACCGCGTTCTCGAAAACAACCGGAACCCGAAACTTGCGTGAAAGACCAGCCAATTCCGAACGATACAATTTGTACCCAATATTGTTTCACCGAACAATAGTGCTATTGAGAATGATTCAGAAACATGGCATCGAATGTAAGATGCTACGTCATGTATTATGTAAAACTGTGGCGTCAACAAGACCGATACAATTCAGCCCCGAGATTTATTTATGACATTTTCATAGCTAACTCTCATTTGCGTTGCGACTAACAATCATTTCATTGACAGTTGGCTGCTTACACACAGGTAAATTTTAGCTATAAGCAGATTCTTCAAAAGGCACTGAAATATGTTTTGCGAGGGAATTTGTCAGATTTTTGTGCTGTTGGTAGTGGTGTCATTAGCGAGATCTCAACATCACAGCGTGTACGTAGACCCAATACCTGGAAATCGATGTAGTGCAGGTAAGTGCACGTTTAATATTCCTTCAAAACTCCACAAATTTTTCACAAAATAAATATCCTCAATGTATGTATGTATAATTCAATTTATGGTTACACTATTAGACTAATCGGATCGTTTTCGGTCTGCTCCATCAATCTCTATAAGGTACGTCAACGGGTGACTTATAAGCATAAAGTTTACTTTCTCATCCTGGATACCTTTAGACCCCGAGTGACGCTTTCCAATAAAACGCCTTAAATTTTTACTTGGATAAAATTTATGAATAAAATTTCTAATATTTATTTCAACACCTAATTTTTTTACTTTCTGCTGGATGCGAATATTCGAGATAGACTTTGTAATACCATTTAATTTGAATTCCCTAGCATAAATTTGTTTCAGTCCCCACTAACTGTGGCATAGACTGTGTAACAAGAAGTTTATCATTTTTACAAATCCACTTTCAAGCAAACAATTTGTAAGGTAGCAGACGACGATTATTTAGCACACACTTACCTTGATACCTTATTCTTTATTTGATGACCGATTTTCCTTGTTAAGGATGCGTTTCACCTGGAATATGTCCATTAGGATATTTCAGACAAACGAAATATCCTTTCGATTATTGTTGTTACGTGGATGAAGTTGCATTCGGCAAGCTATTTGACTCGAAAGTTGCAAGGTATGTGATTTGTCATTTAAGATATCATTGTGCCGTATCCGTAGATGCTGGGTGAGCTGGTTGATGTGACAGATTGGCTATTTTTGAATACAAGGTAACTTGGAAGGATTATTCAAACAATCGAGCTCATAATATATCAATTTCGTGTGTAGGTTGAACCGATTCATTTTAGTACCCATTTTAGTAGTTTAGTATACGCTCGTTATCAATAGTCATTCTCGTACAAATATTGAAAATAAAGTTCACAACAAAATCCGTACTTAAGTGATACATTTTTTTAAAATTCGTAATCAATTTATGTGAGTGATATAAGAGTATACAAATGTGTATGATAGAACACCTCAATCACGTCCAGAATGTTCAGTTTCGACCACAAATGCTCCACAATTACTTCAATAGATAGGGTTTTTAGACAATGTCATCCTATTATTATGTTACAGCCATAATAAACGGAGAGGTACAAAGCTACTAAGCATTTATTTGTTTTAGTGAGAGAATTTGATACATTTTTAATTTACAAAAAATTTATTATTCAAAAAATTTACAACAAAAAATGATATATATATGGGATGGTGATCAATTGTCATTCTTCAGCGTTTGACTTTGATGATATTTTATTGTTGTTTTACCACATGTTCATTTTTTCTTTTTTTCAAGTTTAAAGATGTTGGATTGTCGAAATCGAGATATCTTGAATTTTGAGCTGACTGCGACAAAATCGGATACAGAGTCGATTGATTTCAGTTTCAGCAAATTCCGAAACAAATTGCCAGAAATTCGACATAATTTCCTGAAATATTTCACTCAATTGAAGGTAAATATAACTCAATCTTCCGATTTGAGCGGTTATTAAATACTTCACATGTGACTGGTGGAGGCACTTCGCATTATTGCGATAATTCAGAATGAATTCCAAAACTGCCTTGTCAACTAATCTGAAATTACTTTATTATATCGCTGAGTCTGCCATCAATGATGTAGCTTCTTTTAAAATATGATATTGTATAATATCCCAATTAACTAACTTAATCATACAATTTTACATCACAATAACTAATACATTACTCTATAAATGTAATGGATGTCGATGATACTTTTTTAAATTTCTACTATTGATATTAAGGTTTTAACTCTATCTTCTTCCAACGTGAATCATCTACCGTCAGATTTTCTTTCTGCTCACACTCTATTGGAGGACCTTTATCTCAATTGGAACGATATCACCGAAATACCGGAAAACTTCTTCGAAAATAATCCGAATCTCGTAAAGATCGACTTCACTGGAAACAGACTAGAATCAATTCCGGCAAACTTATTCAAAAGAACGCCAAGTAAGCGATCAATCTACTAGATAACTGAAAATAGTTTTTCTACCACAAAACTTGAAAATGGAGAGAAAATTGTAAATGGAGAAAAATGAAGTGTAGCATAAAAATGTGACACGTTGGACTATACACGCATTTTCTGTCAAATACCATCTGGTTTTAAAACAATTTGTTGCAACAATCAACTAAAAGTATTGCGCAATCCGGGCTATTCAATTAATTAGCAAAGATGTGAAACATTTTATATAAAAGCTATCTCGAGTCTAGAGCAGGGGTCGACAACCTACGTCCCGCAGGCCTTGTTAGGCCCGCGAAGTGAAATAATCCGGCCCGCGATGCTTCAATCTAATTCAGCGACAAAACGGCGGCTGCGAATTTCTTCAGATGCAATGGGGGAATAAAATCCATTTTTTATTCGATAGATGTGTCATTGCTTAATTTTTATAAAAAGTAATTTCTTGAATGAAATCTTTATCCATATTTGACATACCATGCGAAAAAATTCACATCGATGCCTAGAAGTACATATGTGTGCGAACAATTATTTTCGAAAATGAACATTACAAAAAACAATCACATTATACAAGTGTGACATTATATGTCATTTGTAACGCTCCACCCCGAGTCGTCGAAGTGTTCGCTCGCTATTTAAAATCTAAAATTTCAACTTCTGACCTGTGTAAAAAAAAATGTGATCATCAGCCACACGTTCGGTTTTTATCTTTCTTAAAAAAATATGTGCGGCCCGACCAGATTTGATTTTCTCAATTTCGGCCCGCGAGCGACAAAAGGTTACCGACCCTACCGGTCTAGAGCCTAGACTAGGGGTGGGCAAGGTTTTCGAACCAGGGGCCAAAATTGTGCCCAATTAGTTCGGCGGGCCATGCAAGTGTGACGTAAAAAGTTACATCTTATGAACAATATTTACAGGGTTACAAGCAAAAGGGGACAACAATAAGCCTCGTGCTGCGAAAACTAAATTTAACCGCAATCTCAACAAATTCCGTGAGCTATTTTTAGCTAAAATATCAAAATCTGGTTTCACTTTGGTTGTGGCAGCATCAGGCGGGTCAGATTGAATTACCCAACGGGCTTGATTTGGCTCGCGGGTCGTACTTTGCCCATGTCTGGGTCACTCTACACCAGAGGTGGGCAAGGTTTTTGGACCAGGGGCCAAATTTTCCGCACCTAGAATGGCGGCCGTGTGAGTGTGACGTAAAAAGTTACATTTTATGTACAATGTTAACAGTGTTACTGATGCAAAAGTGGAAATCAATAAACCTAAATTTAATCGTAATCTTAACAAAATCCTTAAGCTATTTTTCAGCTGAAAAATAAAACTTAAGGTTTAGTTTGGTTGTGGCAGCATCAGGCGGGCCAGATTGAATTAACCAACGGGCCGGATTTGGCCCGCGGGCCGTAGTTTGCCCATGTCAGCTACAGACCAACATGTACATCATAAGTTATTTAAAAAAAAAATTAACATTCCATATGATTTGTAAAAACTTATCTTTGTTTTGTTCGAGTTGTCTTTTTTGTTAAACACGTATGTTTTTCATTTCTAGATCTCGACGATGTCAATCTAAGCTACAACAATCTTCAACATATAACCTCAGATACTTTCAAATTTCTAACAAACCTTCGATATTTAGACCTCTCTTACAACGAAAAGGTTCGATGCATAAGGTGAGTTTGGTTGAATATTTTATGCAACAGTACATTTCTCTACCGAATATAAAATAGGCTAATGTTATTATTATCGTAAATGTTTTCTAGTCCACGCAATGTGTCGTTAAATTTTCCCTTTTGTTGACATCAAAGTACCACCCCTCAAATTGTTAATGTCTTTTAAATTCTGAAATGATGTGTATTTTTTGACAGCTCTAAAGTCTTCAAATTCAACAAAAGCTTAGTCCATGTCAGCCTCAACGAACTAGGAAACCGTGTTCACCGGGGTCTACAGAAGACTTATTGCAGTACGAAATGCCGATATAATATTGCCCACTTGAGATTTCAGCTCATAATTAATGAGCGCGGACGCTGGCAGACAAGGTTGGGTGCCAGCTGTAGTGCAAGATGATTTATTTGAGGATTGATTTGCTTGATATTCAAGTAGATTTATATGTAAATAGTTCACATACAATTTGTATATAGGTTGTTATAAGTGCAAGGCAGCTTCGTTTTAATTTAATTGCAATAAATTGAAAATTGTTGTTTCTAATGGTTCTCAAAATAATTGATCAATCAAATTGTTTCATAAAAAAGTGGGTTTCTAGCAAACAATCAATCTTATAGGATAGTTTTGTGTAGTCCAGGTTTGTGAATATTCCTTTTGAAATGCAACGTCTCGTGCGCTTCAACAAATGTTAGAATATTAATTTCAGATATTTTGTTGATAGAGTTACAAAACAATATCCCCTTGCTAGATTGTTTAAGATAGCCGTCCTTTGAGTTGTATGTGTTGTGTTACCAACATGTTGTTTAATTAATAAATTTCGACATTTTTCTTCCGTAAAACTTTTACTATTTGAGTATAGGGCGGTGTAATTTTGAGATTAATGGGCAGTAATAGGTTTTAGAACTTGGCATTATATATATGTCGACTTCGGGTATGAAAAAGAGATAATGAAGTCTTGTGAATTTAATACAAAAAGCATCTTTTCGTTCTGTGTATACGGCCCCTATATTATATGCACACTGAAACCTGTTGGAGATTGGAGTATTTTTACTTAATTAACGTTTATCTCCCGAAGTAAATAAAGACAATATACTGCAGTGTCAATGTACTAGTTTGTTTCAATGTACAATATATAAAGAATTACATTACGTGGAATTACCTATCATAGTTTTACAGATGACTTAGTCCAGGCACTGTACGGTTTAAAATGATAAAAGCAAAAATTGGGCGCGCTGATATGCTTTGTTAATTAATGTATTGAATCAAACATATAAGGCACTTGACAGACGAAGAGAAAATGGTTATTCTACAATTCGCGGCTTGTCACCTACGTTGGGAAATATAATATAAATTTACTGGCATTGTTGTGCTGCTGGTAATTAATTTTGTTGTTGGCAATTTTGCATTTTATTTTGCAAAATTAATGATCGATGGGGCATTTTGCAAAAATAGTATTTTGTATCAATACGATAACGGCAATTATTCAAATTTTAAAATATTTTTCGAGTCACACATCTATTTATTATCGCCATAACGCTTGCTACTTTAATTGAGATAAACGAAATTTGAAATGAACACATATAATTTGAAAATTTTTCACCAAAACGGGGCTATAATTTGTTCATTTTTTTTTCCAAGTTGTAAGTGTTATTTATAGGTGTAGTGTGTGAGGAATGCGCCTTAAAATATCTGTAATCGTATATCAAATTAATGTTGTGAATATTTTTACGCGGCAGTTCTTATTAATTTCAGAAGGTATACTATTAATTAAAAGCCGAGATGAATTTAACATTAGTGGGACTTTGCTTTGGTATTGTTTTCTTAACAATCGGTTCCGCACAAAACTTTGAGCTGTCGTATTTAGCAGAACAAATAAACTCATACTGCGAGTTAAAGGAAGGATCTGGTGTTGTCAAACCCAAGGTGACGCTTGTTCCAAAAGTTGGAAAAGCTGGACCACCTGGTCAACGCGGACCTCGAGGTGCACCAGGGGTGGTAGACTATAACCGGGTTGATGACTTGGTAGAACAAAAATTAAGCGGTGAGTTTGTAATAATTTTTATATATATGTGCATGCAAATGAATAGGTATTTTTACGGTGTAGACGTTCAAAAAATCCGATTTGAAAGTCAGGTTGATTGGAGTTTTAGGTGAAATATATTTACTATTATATTCTGAACTATACCGTGATGTCGTACTAATCTAAAGCTACCCTACCCAATGTATTACACCGTGGTGGGTGATGTTTGTAACCTGCAACATAGCTGGGTATACAAGACACAAACCAATAATTATTCTAAGCTTTATAGCAGTCGTATAAAGAGACTGTAATCATATCAAAAAGAAAAATCAAATGTTTCTATAAATTTTATAATTATACAATACCCAATTTTTTAGTTGTTGAGCAGGAACTATCATCTCTCAAGAATAGTCTTTTACTTTACAAGAGAATTAAAATAGGTAAGTTTACAATATTAAGGTTGATTTCTATGCTTCTCCGAATTATCTTTGACTCGAATTGTGTCTTAGGCCCCATTTAATTTTTTGCCAAATCCCCAACATTATTGCTTTCGGTGAGCTTTTTTGTTCATAGAAAAGGACCCTCCAAAAACAACTTCAAATGGTAGATTCGGAAATAAACTAAGCAAAAAAACACACAACGTTTCACGGATAAATGTTGGTTTTTACACTTATTTTTAGACAACTCTGCTTCTTAGAAAAGCGTATAGATAGGCAATAATTGTTTGTTCAAATTGTTTTTAGGAATGTGTCCTATGGAATATCGGGATAAATGCTATTGGGTTATCAAATCACCTATGACTGCAGTTGTTGGCAGATCTATTTGCCAATCTGTCGGTGGACAAGCAGCTGATATAGTAGACCTTGACCATTTTGAAATACTTAGAAAATACATCTCGACATTTGCTACAAATGCGGATGATTTTTGGACCGGAATGAATTTTAATACTCAGGTACCAAGAGAAAAACACTTATATTTTCTTTTCTTTATAATGAGTACTTTTAACAAACATATGAAATTGCACGTGAGTGATGGCGTGAGTATATGGTTACAAAAAGTAATTAAATATTTCACTTAAAAGGGACTGAAATTAGTTATGTATATTGGTCGAGTACTCCCCACAATATGCAGTTAGACTAAATTCTCCTGGTTAATCTTTTCCCATTTTTTAATTCATTTCTCAAGCAGACACGCACAGCAACACTTTCTGATAGATCCGCAGCGCCCTATGTGCGATGGCATCCGGGTTATCCGGACGGGGCCTCCGGAAGAACGGCTATAGCATTCAACTTAGAAGCTGAAGTTTCCAACAATAATGTTGGTATGTGGGATTATTATCCGGATAAAAATGACAATAAGCCAGCGGGTGTAATTTGTGAAATCTGAAGTTTAACATTGTAAATAAAACAAAAAAAAATTATCAACTTTTGTGCATGGCATGAATGTTGAAAAATCATGAATTGGGAACTGACTGTTTTGACATCAAGTCGAACATAGTCATACTCCATATACCGGAGCAGAAGACAACCTTAGAAAATACCTGCACTGGACGTAGGAGCAACGAAATGACTGCAAATAATCATATTTTCAGCCGAGCACATCATTTTTATTGTCTGATTAAAGTAGAGCCTACCAGTTATCAGTAATTGCAATTTTTCAATTCGATAAGGGTAATTCATCATATGGAGAGTCGAGGCATCTGTCCATGTTACTATTACAGGTCGGGTATGGCGTTAGTTAATCACTTAGAGCAGTTTTCAATTTGTTGAGCATGAATTGTTTGAACATATTGGGATTTTGGGGATTGGGAAAGTCGAAAAACGTTGACAAGATGAAAGCAACGTGGAGTAACCTAAATCTGTTATTGTATCTAATATGTAAATAATATCAACTCCTGCAGCTCGAAGGAAAAGTTGTATATATCAAACGTTTTGTCTCTACTCGAACGAACTTCATTTTGTTCGTCTGACTATTTTCGTTTAATTGGGTTCAGTTTTGAATTCTAATGGTAAGGTTAGGCGATCTGAGTAAGTCTTATTTAACCCTAGTGATCAGAGGTTCTGCTCGTCAGACGAGTTACTTCTCTTCGAGTTGATTTTTTAACTTCTAAGTAACCACGACATGAGATATGATAAATAAATAGGTTGAATGTAAATTGTTTCTCTTTGCTGAATTAGCCTAGTTGGGATGGATCATGACGTAAATTTAATGCAAATTTGAACTAAGCAAAACATAAGCTTATATGTATGTATGAATATTGAATCTGATGAAAGTGATTTCTGAGTCTCATAAAACATGTTCATGACTTTTTATGTACGTTTTGTCAAAACAAGGCTATCAACTAGTAAAACACACAGACGCTTATAAGAACTTATGTTTAATTTTTCCAGATTTCCAATACTAAGATTTTTGGAAATGAACATACAGAGACAAAATTCAGTTTGTGTTACGTAAAATGGATGTTGGAGGTTTTTTATACTTTGCCGTGGGAACTGAATGTCCAATCTTCGTCCTTGAGTTGAATGACGACGTTGTTGGAGGGCTTGCCACAGGACCGATAAGATCGGCGCGCTTTTAGCATGCCAGTAATAATAGATTCGCAGAAAATATATTTTGAAAAAAAACTGTTTTTGCATACATTACATTTATTTAAATTCTCTTTCATATAAAACTATCGCGCACTTTCGTGACAGTAAATCATGTGCATATAAAAATAATATGATCGTGCATGCTGATAACATTTTCTCTACACCTCCTTTGCACGGCGAATGATAGACAAAAAACTCTATGTAAATTGAGAGCAATGCTCAAATATATGTACATTGGGGCTCAACCGAATTAGAATCAAATCGTTTACACCACAGGTAGTCTGACCACCAGATCGATGATATGCGATAACGGAAGCACGAACGGTGCGCAATTTTGACGACGTCATCACGCAAAAAAAAAGTGAGAAACGAATTCCATAGAGCCCGAAATTTTGCTTTGAAATGAATAAAATAATAGCCTCCTAGCATCAACAACAATCTTTAACCACTGAAAATTGCAATTGGTCGAGTAGCTGAAATAAAAACAGACAATGAGAAGAAAATACTAAAAATTACTCCATGCCATGCCTTTCGATTTATGGGTACAAGTGAGGTACCCACTAAACGCGACGGATATCGTCCTGACAGGATAAAGATATTCAATTTCCGTTGACAAATTTGAGTCACAGACAATCATACATTTTATTCCAATCATTTCATTCAGAGGTGGTCTGACCAACCAGAAGAAATTCGATAATTCGTGTCGAATTACACCCGATATTAAAATTGTGTGTTATTTGACGTTTAGACAAACTCAACCATGGATCACTCGACTTGAAAACCAAAGTATGCTCTTTCCAAATTGTAGCATGTTATAAAGGGTGTTCTATAGGACTTCCCATCGAGACTGGAATGAGGATAAGTGCCATCTGCGTATGTGAGTGAATTGCATATAAAATTATCCGGAGGATCATCTTGATCTAATAGTTAACTCTGGTCAATTTGATAATGCAATGAAATCTAGTTTTGTTTCAAAATATATTTTGATATCACATTTCGTCATAAATCAAAATTTTTTGTTTTGATGAATCCATAATGTTTGGAAAATTTGTAATAAAATGATACTAAATAATGAGGGACATGAGTATTTCTACGGGAAAATACGAAATGAAATTTGCTATATAAACAATAAAATACCTTTCTGGTTGGGTAATGCTGAATATTATATAATTTTCTATTTTATAAAATCTATTGTGTGCCAACACTTTTCAGTTTTATTGATATCATTTTCGTTTAAATTATTTTGCACGTACAAAATACATCAATTTAGTGCAGTTCGCGCATAAATGCATAAGCACATAGACTAAATAACATGATCGAGAGTTCGATTAGCCTTTTCTACATATTGTTTTGGAAAAATATTTTGAGTTTAATTTTGACAAATTGAACGAAATATAAATGTTTTGCTGAACTAGTTTTTTTGTTTCAATACCAAATAGCAATTATAGTCGAATGTTGGCTCAATCAATCTGTTGAGATGTCGAGTTATTTTTACATCGTTCGTCATCAAATCAACCAATTTTTCTTACGAAATTGAGACAAATGAGTCATATGTAACTACTATATTATTGTACAGTACTGAGTTATTTTAATTTTCACTGTACTAAAGAGAACTTCTTATGAAAAAATAAAATTATTCAGGTATATATTTTAGTTCCACAATGGAAATGTCACCACAATGCAAATCTGTGTAGAAGTTTTAAAATACTGATAATTGAGAACAGGAAAGATTTCGCGCAAAGAGAGCGTGTGGAAGCGTATTATATATTCAAGTTTCGATATTTTATCGATTTAAGATATTAATATGTGTGTTACGGTATATGAGTGATCATCTGAGTTTTCTTTACATTTTGATTTATCAGCTATTCCATATCGGTTCGGTACTACTTGTAATTGAAATGAATTTACTATTAGTAAGACTTGGTCTTTGTATAATTTTATTAATAACCGGATCGGAATCTCAAAATTTTGAGTGTTCATATCTGGCAGAACAAATAAACTCATATTGCGAGTTGAAAGAAGAAACTGCTGTAGTGAAACCCACGACAACACTTATTCCAAAAGTTGGAAAAGCTGGACCTCCTGGTCCACGCGGACACCGAGGTGCACCGGGAGTGGTAGACTATGACCGGGTTAATGACTTGGTGGAACAAAAATTAAGTGGTGAGTTTGTAATTTGTTTTCTAGATGCATGCACATGGTTTTTCATATGGCGTTCAGCAACTTTGATTTCAACAAGTTTCTAGTGAAACCTCCATTAATAAGTCCTACGGTATTTTTGGTAGGAAATAAATTAAACCGACGTTCAAACCCAACTCAATTTATTACACCGCGGTCAAGGTGGTAGTCATCATGTTTAAACGTTTTTGAGTAGAAGACGCTCCAGTTGTGGTAATTAAGTTAGCTGCCATATGTTGTTGACATTCTAGTCATTACTATTGGATAAATCACACAACTCGAAAGGTGGCAGATTAGGGATGGCGAAATAGGGACGAAAAGACAAATTGGGGATGGCAAAATGCGGTCGAAGCGTGGCAGATTAGGGATGGCGAAATACGGTCGAATGGTGGCAGATTAGGGATGGCAAAATGCGGTCGAAGCGTGGTGGCAGATTAGGGATGACAAAATGCGGTCGATGGCTGTCAGTTTTTGCCAAATCGACTGTCATAATGCGCTGTTTAGTATACAGATAACAATAAACAATTGCCTCAAAATTACAAAGAAATATGGCCAAAGTGTTTAGATTTGGGGCTGATGAAATGGATTAGTACCTGTCAAATTCGGGCTGGGAAAACACAGTCGATGAGTGTCAAAATGGGATGGCGAAATGGGGTCGAAGCGTGGCAGATTAGGGATGGCGAAATGCGGTCGAAGCGTGGCAGATTAGGGCTGGCAAAATGCGGTCGAAGCGTGGTGGCAGATTAGGGATGGCAAAATGCGGTCGAAGCGTGGTGGCAGATTAGGGATGGCGAAATACGGTCGAAACGTGGCAGATTAGGGATGGCAAAATGCGGTCGAAGCGTGGTGGCAGATTAGGGATGCCGAAATACGGTCGAAGCGTGGCAGGTTAGGGATGGCAAAATACGGTCGAAGCGTGACAGATTAGGGATGGCGAAATGCGGACGAAGCGTGTCAAATTGGGGGTGGCGAAATAGGGTCGACTCCTGTCAGGTTAGAGATGATGAAATATGGTCGATGCGTGTCAGATTAAGGAGGGCGAAATAGGGCAGTGGGTTGACGGGTGTCATGTTAAGGATGGCGAAATGCGTGTCAGATTTGGAAACGAACATTGTCAAATTTAAGGAACTAATCTGATCAGTGTTTCACATTTTAAAATTCATTTAAAAGGTATTGTCCGATTTACATCGTGTTCTTTATTTTATGATTAATTTTAATGTTTTATATATTATTACATTTTTCTCATCAAGTCTTGAACATTTTTTTTATATTTTTCTGATTAATAATTTTAATACAATCTTTCATGTTTGATATATTATTACGTTTCTCTCATCAAGTTTGGGTACTCCTGAAGTATGCGCACCAAGATGTCGCACAACCTGAACCCTAACCTGGTACACAACCTGAGTTCAGGTTGTGCGCCAGCTTGTTGCGCATATTTCAAGAGGTCTGCATTGGCTGGCATAGCATTGTGGATCGTGCCATCATTTATGGGTCATATGTTTTATCTCTTTCGTCATGAAAATTTCAATTTTCCCTGGTATTATTGTCCCTACAATTTTTTTACGCCACCCCGAAGCCTGCGATATTTCTATTCCAAATACTGTTATTAAACAATTCTTTTCAATTACAAATATTTAAATTGCTCAAGTATATATGTAGAAGAATCCTGTTTGCTTTAATAATATTTTTGGCATAATTCACGATCACACTGCATGAAGAGTTCATTCTCCGTGTTTCGTTAATTTCAATTCTCAAAAATTTCTTCGAAGTTAATTGGTTTTATAATTTGAATATAACCTTTTGATGTAAAGATGTGTTCGATATATCATGCTATAAAATGATTTTTATGATATTGGGTGAATTCCTATCGAGAGGAGAGTCTTTGAATAGGAATATACGTTGTAGTATTACTCACTTTTGTATAATATTATTCATGAAAACGCGACAAACTATTTGAACTGCGTAAAAAGGAAAATGCGACTTTTGTATAACACTGGCAAAGAATCTACAAAAGGCAAGGTAATTAAACATAGGGATTTTGGTATAAACAGTTCAAAAACCAACTAATAGAAGATTTCAACACAAAATGTTGGAAACCACCAAATTCATCCATTTTATCGTTTTTCAGAAAGAAAATGTCGAAGACTAGTTTGACTTTTTAGGAATCTTCTTGCATGCTTTACTTCTTGAGGAACATAATTACCATTACTTGGTACAGAATCCAACCCATGTCTTACTGGATAGAGAAGGAGCAACTTATAAATTAATGTGTTACGTGTGGCGCAAGTCTTGTTCTCTGTTGCAATTGAATTCCAAGGAAAGACGCATTTGCGACGAATTTTCCGTGCTGTTTGGAATAGGGTGGGTTAGACCTTGGTGCTATATATATCCGCATTGTTTAATATTTAATGGTGCTTATAACTGGCGTAGTTTCGTGCACCGTTATTTCGCGTTCAAATGCGTTTGATGAGGGATTAATTTTGAGCTAGTAATACGTTCAATATTCATATCTAATGATTGTAATATTTGTTCTGGTGAGTATAAGATACAAAAAGCCTTTCTAGATTTTCAATTGAAATCAAATGAAATTATACTTTCAAAAACTTATAGGCGAAATGTTTTGAAAACATTCTGCGCTGAGCAGGGTCTCTATAATTGTACGGACATTTAGCGAAATAAAGCCAGTGAAATACTTCCCTGAATATTCGACATTTACACTGGAGTCAAATTACTACTAATCTGCAACTGAAAATTTTCAACCTAATTGTTTTTGAACTTTACAAAACAATCTCAAACATTTGATGGTCAGAAAACGCTAATGTTTCATGTAGTAGTCAGGGAACACGCAATTTGATGGGTTAGTCTAGCAGGAATGGCGAACCTTTTTAAAGAATTGGGTCGAAAATTATTGTTGTATTGTAGAAAAGAAGACTGTGGTTCGTAGACAGGGTTGTCCAAAACGAATCAAATATTCGAATACATTTTCGGCTGATTTTCGAATAATATAGTCTCTTTTCATCGTAAACACGGTTTTTCGTTTTTGCGGGAATCTTCAAACGATTTTACACATTCATTTCCATTACGTCAAGAAATTGAAGATTATTCAATGTCGTAATTGTTATGATACCCAATAAATTGTCGCAAGTCGGAAAACAAGTCGATTTATTAGAGGAAATAATCAATACTTTTTCCCGCTTTATGGCAAATAATTTTGATAATGATATTTGAAAGTTTCGACTTTTTACTGGGATGATTTTCTGTTGTGCAAATTATTTATATCCATGACCGATACCAGCATATAAAATTATTATGCGTTATTAATTTAGTTTTGTTTAACGTAACTTATGGTTGCGACGACAATTTGTGAGCATAAAATGTGTAGTGAACTGCCCGATATTATTCATTTTTGATTCCTATTTTCGGATTTACTGAATAATAAAAGTATTATTACTCTGAAATCTACTGGAATTTGTGGACTTAAAATGTGTGGCAAGGTGCCCGAATATAATTAATTTCTGATTCGTATTCACAAAATAATATTACTCAAAAATACACTACACGGACTTAAAATGTGTGGTAAAGTGCCCGAATATAATTAATTGCTGATTCGTATTTTCGTATTCACAAAATAATAAAAGTATTATTACTCCAAAATACAACGGCAATTTGTGGGCTTAAAATGTGTGGTAAAGTGCCCGAATATAATTAATTGCTGATTCGTATTTTCGTATTCACAAAATAATAAAAGTATTATTACTCCAAAATACAACGGCAATTTGTGGGCTTAAAATGTGTGGTAAAGTGCCCGAATATAATTAATTGCTGATTCGTATTTTCGTATTCACAAAATAATAAAAGTATTATTACTCCAAAATACAACGGCAATTTGTGGGCTTAAAATGTGTGGTAAAGCGCCTGAATATAATTAATTTTTGATTCGTATTTTCAGACTCTTGGAAAAATTGTCCCAAGTCGGAAAAATAATTTATACTTTATCCCGCTTTTTGGCAAATAATTTGAATAATGGTTGGTATTTGAAAGTATGAACTTTTTACCAGGATGATTTTGTGTTGCGCCAAATATTCAAATCCATGACCGATACCACTATTTCAAATGCCTTGCCATCTTAATTTAAATCTGTTAACGTAACTAACTCATGATTACGTCGACTTGTGAAAAAATAAAAGCGTTACTATTCTAAAATATATATCGCAGTAATCTGTGAATATGAAATGCCTGGTAATATAGCCAGTTATTCCATTGTTTATTGCATGCAAATTCTTTCGCATATTATAGATAAGCGTTTTTTGAACTTCAAATGTATTCGAAACAGTGAACTATTCGGTATTGGCCACTCGTAGGTAAACCCGCTACCGCAATTTTTCCGTTAGACTCGTAATCTTTGACGTTGAAGGACTAAGGTAATATCTTGTACTTGATTTTATGTAATTTGTGTAATACTAATTACCGAAATATGTTCCAACGCTACGGACTACGGTAAATATTCCCGTGGTTTCAAAAGAGCTTTGAAACGGGATTTCACTGTATGAGAATTGCATTTTTAGAGTGGCTTTCTGCCACGTTGAAGTCACTACCACTCTAATCACAACCCTCTAACGACTACGTGATTGAAGAGGCGTTATAAACTCTTCATTTCATTTTCAGTTTTCCACGATAAAAACAATCTCAAAACTTTCCAAGACTAGACTAACATTGAAAACATATTGAACGGTATATATGTAGGGATGAATTAAATGTCCCTGAACTAAATGACCAGAGAGTTTGACAAGCCCGTGAATCGATGATCTAAGAACGACCAGAGATCGTAGGTTTTACTTTATTTCCAAATTTGAGGTAATGGCATTGGTTACTTAAGATATGTAAATGGTGAATGACTCAAAGTAAGGTATAAGGCATTAAAAAGTAACTATAATGGTCTAGTTGTTGTAACTAAGTGGGTTTAAAAAAATCATCATCATCAATCATTTCAAAATTGAGCAACATTAAAGTTGGCTCATGTAATATGATATGATTTTGAAAGCTTTATATTATAGAAACGAAAGCGCACTGACATGAGAGTGAGCATATATTCCTTCAAATGGCCAGAATGAATCATGTATACAGCACCTAATGAAAGTGATGAATTGAATATTCCCGTTTTTGAAAAAATAGTGTTCACAAGCAACAAGAAATATATGACATTGGAAGACATAGAGAGTGAGGGTTAAATGCTAATTGGAGCGCTTAGTATCAGCAATAGTGTCAGCATCAGCATTTCCCTGATTACAGGGAATTAATAAAAATAGAAGAAAGAACACCAACGTTAAATTATAAATTACAATAGTTTTTCATTCGGCTTTTAAGAAAATTACAAGCAGGACATTCATGAGAAAACATGCAAATGCTAGTGAACCATGCATGTTTATTCATACATGCGCGCAAGAAAGAAGTTGTAAACGGAAATAAAGAGATGACATTTGAGATAACATGAAGCACATAATTTGAGATGACATGATGCTATAAAGATATCGGGTATAAATGCAAAATCCTACATCATTTACAGTAAGGTTCCAAATGTGAACACAAAAATTGGGATATCCAACCAATAAAAAATTATTACATTATTGAGAAATTAATTTACAATATTTCATAATAATGAAAGCATATAACACCAGTATATCATATTGATTCGAAATGTTGTCACACAATTACATTGTGTTTCCATGCATAGTTTGGCATATTAAAACATGAACTTAACCAAAGGACTTAGTAAATGCTAGGACATTATCTGGGGGAAGACATATTTTCACTGCAAGATTTCAAGATTACACACTGAAAACTATTGCTACAGAAAGTAATCAGGAACTTCATTATAGAATATATATAACAGCATATGCACCCACCCACATAAATAACAAGTTTATCTTATAACAAGAACAAAATAACACAGTATGGAGTAGTAGCAGAGAAATTGTTATTTTAGGATTGCAGACAATGCATTAGTACAAAGTGGTTATGATTCATGAATGAAATCAGATCTTATTGATTGACTTCAAAACAAACAAGGACTAGACAAAGTATATAATATCGTGTACACAAATGCTACAGTCCCCATAAATAGTGTTTAATAATTGGCAAAAAATACTGAAAGCAAATTAAAACATAATTCTGTATCTTGGAAAAATGAATCTCAAACAAATACAATTTAGTATGTTGCACGTTATTTGAAGAAATAAAAAATAAATATTTGGAATTTGTGTACACAAGTGGAAGTCAGTGACATTAATTTGAACAGTAGCACAAATAGAGCTATTAGGTTATTACGACGCTTCTGTAGTATGTGCACTGAGATGGCGTATAACCTGATAACCCTAACGTGGTACACATACTATGTTCAGGCTGTGTGCCATCTTGGTGCACATGCTGGGACGGGATGCACACACGGGAGCACCTATTAAACATATAAAGGTATTCAAACTCAGCGATTGTGTGATCTCAGTGATTTTAGGTAGGGTTAGGAACTGAATTTTATGAGAATGTCTTCAAGACACGAAAATGGAAATCACAAAAGTAAGTGAGATTGCATACTAGTAGCAAGTCGAAATGATAAAATATTCGTGGCAGTAAAGGATCAGACCAGGAGATTGCACTCTTTCAAATGTTTGTGTAAATAAAATGATAACTATAGGGCTGACTATGTGCTATTAGGTGAAATCTATGAAAAAGTTGATCTGTCATAAAAATGTTTAGATTAGCTGGATGGATAACCTTGGATGCAACAATTGGAATACAGTTTGCATAAAAAACAGTAGCAATAAATAAACTATAAAACAAGATTAACAATGAGTGTGATTTTTATGATTGATCCAAGTTACATTGACAAAAATAGGAAAATTATTTTAATAGAATCAATTATGGCAAATAAACAGCTCTTACTAACATGGATTAGCAAACATACACTAAAGTTTAATGTTTTACATGCCCTTTACAAATAACGAGTATCTAATTTCTCATTTAACACAGTTTTGAAGTACAAAGATAGTTTTGGAGATAAAACTATATCAAGTCCCATGTCACAATTCATTTGTGGGCATGTAGTGGACCTATGGATCGTTTTGTTATTATGTTGTTGTTCTTTGACACATATTGAAAAACCGCTTTTCTTGTTGATTACTGGACGAATTGCCTTGAAATTTTCAATGGTTTAAGATTGATTTGCCTGAAGGCTATTACTTTAATGTATTCCCAATATTTCTGAGAGCTGCATGGAATTCATTTCTTTTGTGCTATGACCTCATCAAAAATTGCCACCATGTGGCGGTTCATCGTGCGCAGCGGGTCACGAGGTCAGCGAACATTGGTGCTTCTAGTGTTTAGCGAACCGTCAAAGGTAAGCTGGACTACTGCTTCGCTCAGGCTGCATGTCCATATATTTGAGCATCGCTCTCTTGTTGAAAGTGCAAACTATAAAGTTCTTGATCCCCTTTCTGGCACAAATAGACTCACTTCAGTCATTGCAGCAATATCCCTAAAGACTAGATAACCTTAATCTTCATATCTGAAATTATATCAAAATACTTGACAGAGTTTCAAGTAGTCATTATAGACTTAATGTCATTTACGATCAAATTTTATAATGGAATTGGAAGTTCGGGGCTTTTACTACAGTTAATTAACATGACATGTGTCTCGCTCGGATTAACGATAGGATCTACATATCTATCCCAGGAGAGAGATAATGGACCAGATGGCTGGATGGTGGAGGAAGCTGTAACCGACCAGCAGTTATGTGAACCACCCAACTGCGACGAGGAGTCCAGTAATCCTCTCGCACATAACCATGGGGTGACGAGCGTATTCCTAACAATCTCCACATTTACCCTGCGAACCTACACAGACTGACATAGTGTAAGTAATAAGAGGTGCGATGCCAAGCTTATTCCGCTCACAGGCTTAGCATGATGAGCCACACCACTGCTAATTTTGAAGTTAGACAATTCAGCAATTAAATATTTCAAATGGTTAGAATGCATATTAACTTTTTGCTTAGGTCTGCGGAGTTCACTCAAACAGTCAAATGGCTTTAGCAGTTTCACTTTTTAGTTTATCGCTTGCTCCACACAATGCTGCAATGTTACCAGTCCCAATTTGACATACAGTGTTCGTGCCTACATCTTGCCACACAATAATTCCACCGCGAAGGCATACCGGTACCGGTACCGTAGTCCAATGATACGGTACCGTACCGGTAGTCTACCGTTACCATATTAATTAAAAGTCCAAGTCTCGGTACTGTCCTTGTAATTACCACCAAAACAATTGCCAGAGTACCGGTAGCCTAATTTGAACCAGAAGAATGTTAAATCTCTTATTTTCTGTCTACTGCCATTCTCTACACTGCCCATGCCGTCAAGGACTGGATTAGCATTAACAGATTACGGTAATGCTGTAATGGGCCACATACCGGTACCGTACTCACTACGGTACGTACCGGTAGGTGGTACCTATTACCGTATCCTGGCATATGCAGGTACATTCAGGCTACATGCTAAACTTAAGAACCTTAAAATGTTCGTACGGTACCGATGTACGGTAGGGTAACACTGACACCATGCCCTTCACTTTCTCAAACGTCGCCATCCCTAATCTGCTCCAAAATTCGACCGCATTTCGACATCTCCAATCTGCCACTACGCTTCGACCGCATTTTGCCATCCCTAATCTGCCACCACGCTTCGACCGCATTTTGCCATCCCTAATCTGCCACCATTCGACCGCATTTCGCCATCCCTAATCAGCCACGCTTCGACCGCATTTCGCCATCCCCAATTTGACTTCTCGTCCCTATTTCGCCATCCCTAATCTGCCACCTTTCGACCGTATTTCGCCATCCCTATTCTGCCATCCCCAATATGACTTTTATGCTACCACCACTTATAGGAGGGGAGCTATCGGTGGTTTGGTTATTATGCTATTGTTGTGAGAGAATCGCTTTTCTCTTAACTACTTGACCAACTAGGCTACTTTGAAATATCCAGTGGCTGAAGCTTGTTGTTGCTAGCAGGCTATTACTTTTCTTCCTCTCACAAATTTCTGTGGGCTATATGGGATCATTTTTTCTCTTTGAAGTTTTGTGTATTGATGTCAACAAAATTAAAACTTGCGCACCTCAAGTTGCGCAAACTTGCGATCACATCTCAGTGATTTGGTGGTCAGACTACCGGCACTGTGAAAGATTTGATACTATTTTCATATATTCATATATTTCATATATTTGAGCATTGCTCTCTCTTTTTTTTTCAGTTGTTGAACAAGGGCTAGCATCTTTCAAAAGAGAGCTTTTACTATACGAAAGAATAAAAATAGGTAAGTTTAATAAATGTTGATTAATATGCTGCATATATTCGGTCCGTATTGATTTTAAGCCTATAAGTCTATAAAATATGAAAACATACTATATCCATTCAAACCTTTTTTAGGAATATGTTCTGTAGAATATCAAAACAAATGCTATTGGGTTATAAAATCATCAATGACTGCAGTTGTTGGCAGAGCTATTTGTCAATCTGTCGGTGGACAAGCAGCTGATATAGTAGACGCTGACCATTTTGAAAAACTTAGAAAATACATCTCGACAATTGCTAGCAATGGAGATGATTTTTGGACCGGAATGAATTTCAACACTCAGGTATGAAGTAAAATATTGTTATTTGCTTCTTTACGTTATTGTTTTGCTCGTTTTATTAATACTTTTGTCTGTGAGCATCCATGATGAGTATTTAAGTAGTATCATACAATTAGTAAAAATGTCATATCAAATGACTGTGTTTTCAATTAATATTAGTCGTTGGACCCAATTTAAAATTCATGTTTTTCGGTATGATCATTTTTCTTAAAGCACCCATGATGAGTATTTAAGTAGTATCATACAATTAGTAAAAATGTCATATCAAATGACTGTGTTTTCAATTAATATTAGTCGTTGGACCCAATTTAAAATCCATGTTTTTCGGTATGATCATTTTTCTTAAATCCCTTTTCAATCAGACACGCACAGCAACGCTTTCTGATGGATCCGTAGCGACCTATGTACGATGGCATCCAGGTTATCCGAGCAGGGCTTCCGGGAGAACGGTTATAGCATTTAACTCACAATCTGACGCGTCCAACAACAATGTTGGTATGTGGAATTCTTATCCGGATAAATATGACCATAAAAAACAAGGGGTAATCTGTGAAATCTGAACTTTATCAATATAGATGGAAACCTTTCAAGCTAAACCATTCTTTCAACAGATCGTTAAAATATGAATATTACCCATTTTAATTTTTTTAAATCATGTCATATTCTTGATTTCATGTGCTTTTCCGAAAACTGGTGTTGTATATTCTGCCAAAATACTTAACTGCTTGAAGACGTCATCTTTTTACGTAACACCGCTCAGAGGTAATAAACGAAATCCGAAATTTTCAACATGACGTATTTTCGTTGTTTTTGTGATGGTTTTCATACTGAATTAGTCGGGTTCTACTCTTGTTAAAAATCTATAAATTATTATAATAATATCTTAAATTGCAGCATACATAACTTACTTTTGAAGCAACGTATTTGACGACTAAAATATACTAAGAGTTTCTGGCACACAACACTGCCATCATATATTCAAGTTATATCATCCAAACGTCTGTTCTTTCTGTACACTTTTTTAGGTGTTGATTTTGAGGCAAAAAACAGTAATTGAATATTACTTTGTAGTAAAACTTACATCACTAACTTTTTGTGATTGTGTGCAGTTTTTGAACTTTATTCTTTATTGACAAACAATTGCATTTCAACAGCATCAACATTTCATCAACAATGCTGAATATATGCCTCGTATCATAGAAAATTGATATTGTAAAATACAGAACCTTATATACAATATAAATATTGTTTGGCAGAGAAAACAAATTCTATTCAAAGATACTTCATTATGAGCTAATGTAGGATAATTTTAATATGCATATTTGTAAAATTTGATATTTAATATCTATATTGACTTTGATTTGGGAACTAAACAAAACAATTAATCACACCCTCAGAAGAAAAAGACAAAATGCAACTATGAAAGTAGCTATGGTTATTTGTACTTACTCTTACAGGCCAAAATTCAATTGTTTTCTTTCAGCTAATTTTTTGATTATTTAAGTATTACGACAGCATCTTTTACACAATGTTTAATGTAAAGCATTTCCATGTGATTATTGGTATAAATCAATAATAAATTGTAAAGGTACGAAACTCAAATACATACATTGTAATGATATTGTTTACATTTTATACAAGTTTACTTAAAGCTAAATATCAAGCACTCGAAGGAAGTGAAGAAGTCACACATAAATATTTAATTATGCAATAAAAAAATTATTATGGCATTTTCATTAAAATTCTGATAGGTTACTGAAGCAGCTAAAATAAAACTCCAAAGTTGGGAATTCGCCAATTCGAGAAAGCATAATAGAAGTTGTAATTCAAGATTTTCAATGATTTTTTTCGGTTTCCTGCGACAACAAATGTTTGTTTTTATTAACAGCGTATGTTCAAATCTAAACTACCGTGTTTCCCTGCAAATAAGACCTAGCCTGAGTTTTAATAATGATTTTAATATAAGCGCTCGCCCTAAAATAAGAAAGATCTAGTCGATAGCGCAAAGTCGGTTTTCAGATTTCGTATATTTGAAAATCTCGTCATTTTCTACTTTGCAATTTTGTTTTCGATAAATAAAAATAAAAGAAATCCGCACAAACAAGCTTTAGTGTTATTAAAAGAAATTGAAATGAGACCCGGTCATATTTTCGGGGAAACACGGTATAAAATGATTTTAACAAAATTGACATAATCCCGACTGCGTTGAAATTTAGTGTGTAATCGTGAAATTGACTTTTTTGAACAGAAAAAAAATGCTTTTAACATGTTGTAATTGGTTGCTACTAGAAAACGAAAAATGCGAATAAGTCTACGAGTGATTACAATTGTTTACTAATGATAAAAAATACATATCAGTCACAGTTTATTTAGTAGAAATATTGTCTTGTGCAGGCATCCATTTCTGGTGTTAGACACCAGTTTGATTCTTTATAAAAATTGCTTCGAATATTCTATTTCAGTCATTCAGGTTTCAGTCCAATGATTTGTAGAGCATGCATCCAGCAATTATGGCAACAATCTAGATGAATTAATATAAGATTTTAGTTTATTTTGACGGGTGTTTGACGATTAAAACCAGATTGGGTACAGTCGGATCTGTTGGCAGTGAATTTCAAATGGTATATAGAAAAATTTGCTAACAACTGAGTAATCATAATAAAATTATAATTATGCCTGATTTGGAAGGGTTGCCAAAAATTTCGCACAACTAGACTATGGGGGACCATGTAAGTGTGACGTGAAAACTAAATTTAATCGCGATCTTAACAAATTCCTTGGAGTATTTTTCAGAACATCAAAATTTGGCTTTAATTAGGTTGTGGCAGCATCAGACGGCGCAGATTGAATTACCCAACGGGCGGATTTAGTCCGCGGGCCGTAGTTTGCCCATGTCAGGGGTTTCTTGAAGTTGCAAGTGTGAAAATCATTCTACAATGACGATAATAAAACGGTATGGTATATAATACATTATAAAAATAAGTAATTTCATTTTACTTGAAGAATTGCAAATCCGATTGCAGTTGCTCCTATGATCACTGCCCATCTATCAATGAATTGGTCGATTCTATCTTTGCAACCCTGTGATCATTTGTAAATCAAGTAAGTTATAGCAAATCCTTTTCAATGTGAGTCTAGATTATTCAATTTTGCTACAAATAGTGGAATAGAGGAAATTTGAAGCTTGTGAAAAATGAATATACAGTAACGAGTTGTTATTCCATATAAATAACAACGTTAATTTAGGAAGGTACCGAGTACTACCGACCGATATATAGAACGACGTGATCGACAATAAGCCTTTGTACTGCTGATATGACAGAGTCCTTCTTTGATGATTATACGTGAAAAGACTGGTATATCTTTCCATCGCCAAGCACCTCAGATGGCTTACGACATCTTAAGTTACTATGTGGATAAGTAAGATGCGTTAGTTTTACAGGTAGGGCGCCATATCGACTTCTTCAAATCGAGATAAGAAATTTCTGTCTTATCTCACGAGTACCGGGAAAAGATTTACCAGCAGCCATCTAAATCACATACATGGATAGATTTTAGTGCGCTTAAAATTTACGTACCGTTTCATACAAATACTGTTCAAGTTGTTCTATTGTCATGCTTGCATCCTTGCATACAGTTTCATTCTTATATCCTGATCCCGATTTCACGCAGCAAGTTTTAGTCCACCCACCTCTGTAGTGAGTTGTTGATGCTAAACAGATATCAACCAAATGAAATTTTAAAAATAAAAATTGTAAGAAAGAATATTCGTGCGTTAGATAGAAAGAAACGAGTGCTCTCTATTCAAATGTAAACAAACTCCTCAAAGCATAATTTTCTATACCAGTTAAGCCCAATACTATTTGGATTCAAACTGAAAAGCCGACGCGACAATTCAAATTGTGAGCCTTAATCAAGCAACTTACTGGAAAGTCACTCTCATCCTAAAAATGGAATACCAAAAAGTAAATTTACAAACCATTTGTAGTTGCCATGACTTCTGTTGTAGTGGCAGTTGTGGATGAGACAAACGACGCAGTAGAATCATTGACGTTGCTGGATGTCACCGCTGGTAGAACAATAGTGGTAGCCATTGCTATTGGAACTTGGGTTTTTTCGAGAACACCCACGGTGACAATTGTGTTGTTCACTGAAGCTATGCTGGAAGAAATTATTGTTGTGCTTGCGCTTGTGGTTGTAACTGGCTGACTTCTTGGACTGTAGTCGCCAGGACCATTATATCCACAGCACTCGAACTATGAAAAAAAATTAATGTTCTGTTTGATAAGTTTAGAGTTTTGAATTACAGCTCGGAATCTCAAGCGAGATATACTCATGAATTTACTCACAAATTCTTGTACTGAATTGACAACATCCATATCGGTTCCAGCCTCTCTTTTAATAATTTTCATGAAATGTTCTTCAAAAGAAGCCTCGACCTCCTGAAATGTCAATAGTGATGTTTAAAACATATTTTTTTTTTTCGTAATTCCACTGAGTTGCCACTATTAGTTGGCCGAAACACTCATGTAACTTAACGTAAATCACCACGGAGTGACGCCCAACTGCTAATGTAGTGGATCGTCATTATGAGGTATGGATATGGTATCATTACACACTGTTTCCCAAATTGATTCATAAAGCTGATTACAATTTGAATCATCATACCACGTTTACCGGTTAACAAGTTTCAATGACGTTTCGGGAATCAGAATTTCACTGCTATACATCCGACTAAATTTAAACGGTCATTGCGCGTGTAGCAATTTGGTCTATCGACGGTTAGGGCGCTATTGTTCGAGTGGTAAATCGGCGTTTATGCGTGGTAACCTCGAGTGATATTTCTGACTTTTTTGCGTGTCAAAGGTTGCGTGTAAAAAATAACTTAACATGCATCACTCCATGGACCTAAAAGAGAAAAAGACACTGTCACATAATGTATGATAGGTTGCATTGAATTTAATTGAGTGCACATTTGAATACAAACCAAATACACTATATTTGGTATCCTATAACAAAACGATGCATCTTGCCTTGTTAGTCAAAATTTCGTATGTTGCCCATTAATAACAATAGTTACATCAGGCTGTTTTATATACTCATATAATGCACTGTTTGGATGTTTTCTGGATGCTTCATTAAACTACAACCAGTTTCGATTATGCGTGTCTGTAATTTTTATACGTCTATTGTGCCTTTCAAAATTCCAATTACGGTTAACCAATTGATTCACCCTGCACCGAAACTCAATTCTTTGGTATAGCGTCAATTGCACGTTTGATGAATCAGATTTCATCTGCTGGGTTAACTTATACTGTATATTAATTACAGTACAAGACATGACTAAAATGACTTTAATAAAGCATTTCTCGTGGTCATGCCCGCAATCTGCCTAATCAAGCATATCGTGATGTAACTCTTTTCGCGGCCTATAATATTCTCCTACCTGTTTTCCATAATAAATTCCAAGAGCACCAATCGCAATTTGGCCGAGCAGAAGAAGAATGAGGAATACGCAATACTGAAAACAATAAACAATAAAATTATTACATTTAATAATATATACAGTATTTCGATGATTAAATGCTTACCAATCCCATCATGCATTTGCTTTCTGATATTGCTCCACAGCATCCAACAAAAGAGACGAGCATAATCAGTCCACCTACGATGAGCATCACAACCCCCAACACACCAGTGTGGTAGCCGATGTATTAATAGCCATGGCTTTCAAAACATTTTGTACCGTATCGTTGAATTGCAAAAGCAATCCACCAACGAACATGATGAGTCCAGCAAACTGAAACACAAGAAATACATTTATCAAACACGATTTTTAGTCTTGACCAGAAATAGACAACAACTAGAAATAGAAATGAACCAATTCACATGTTAAATTTGAATTAAATTACAGCTAATAATTAGTTAACACGGATTGATTAAAGTTGGTATACTATTTTCCGGCAGTAACAGTTTACTATTTTATTCCGTAGAGACGGAGTGATGGATTGTTGTTGTTGTTGGGGTGACTATTGTTGTTGTAATTGCTTTTCTCTGCATCTAATGGACCAATTAATTTTAAATGTTTAGTACTGAAAATGTGGGGCATGTGTATACTAAAATTTGATTACGTCTCGACTTTGATTGTTATGAATCTAATAACATTTATATTTATGTATATTCAAGATGAAAGAAGAAGATGACATTTTACTCACCAGGCATATTACATTGAAAGAAATGAGACATATCTTTAGGCATTTGTCATTCATCGTTGTTGTTTTATCGCATCAATTTTTTTATAATATATTAAATAAACTATTAAATTACAGTAACAAGATGTATTCTGAAGATACAAGCAAAAAGGTTATATTTATATTTTAGGATGATTTAACATTAATACGTACACTTTACAGATACGAGTTGGAATACCAGGTTACAATGGATAGTTTTATAAACAAAAAACCTTTAGTAAAATGTTTCCACACGTGCGCTTAGAACGAACTTCAGTAAAGATAATTATATTTATATGTAGCCGAGAAAGACCAGTATAGTTTCCGTTCGGTGGAGCGAAATTAATTCTTTACACTTCAATCTGGACTGACCATTTGTACAAAATCAGACTCTGAAAGCCAGGCAATCGTATCCACATTGACGAGCTTCTACGTAAATGTTACATTACTTAGTTTTAGTCGATTACAGAAAGAATACGGGACAATTAGAATTACATAATAGTAACAAAGCCAGAATAACACTGCTGGTTACATTATGTTATTGATGTGTTATAATGTTAATAATGTGCTGAAAATGAGAAATCCTATACAAGTATTCTATATTCTGCAATTAAGCTGGCGATGGGTTCCAGTTATTGTTTGTATGCAAGCTGTCACTTCCCGGTTCAGCAGAAACAATTGAATATTTTTATTGTATGAATGGTGATGCAATGAAGTCATTAGGGAAAAGCCCTTCATTTATACCACAATAAACAGAGTGTCCATAAAGTCCCTTTACAATTTCCATTTTGTTATGAAGTCAGTTCACAATATATCTTAACCAGGTTTGTTGTTTTCTAATCATAATAGTATTTTATTCCATTTAATACATCTGTGAGGGCCAAAACAATATATATATGGTATTGATAAATTCCCTTTGCAATTTTAAAAATGTCTGAGCCTTCCAGGACACTTTATGTAATTGCAGTTATTGCGCCTGTTTGCTTATCACTTAATGCTCATCAAATTCTATGTAATACCATGGCGCCCATCATTGCTATGAACACAAAAAAATATTTTTTAATTTTGCTAACCTGACTTATTCTGACATTTAAAACAATAGTTCACAAGTTAAAGCTTATATACAAGTTAAACCCAAATCACAAATAAAAACAAGCTCGAAATGATTTCAAGCTGCCTGGCACATGATAGACACGCGCGAAGTAAAGTCTAATGACGCATTCTACATTGTAAGTAGCAACGAGGAAATGACTGAATGTGACAAAAGCGTTTTTTCGCAATGTAATCAAACCAGTTAGATGAATTTTAAAATATTAACGAACTTAAGAACTGGTTTTAGAAATTACTAAGCATTCAACGACCTATACTCAGTCAATCAATACACATGCCGGCAGAAATCAATCAATCACTAAAATGGATGGTTTGAATACGGATGTGCTAATAGCTATAAAAATTACAAGCCATGCATAATATATACATTGATGGCATCAGGTCACAGCTGAAGCAGTGAAAATTCAAATTCAACTGGCACAGCAAAATTGTGTAACCAAAATGAATGTTAGGCATTTTCTTGGATTGTGATGATATGGTGCTATGGTGGTTCTGCTTATGTGATAACTTTAATATTCAAAAAGTTTTTTGTTATTTTTATAAAAACTAAAATTTACAAAAATAGACGGCACATTTTAAAGTAACATAATACTGATTTTGACATTCGTGACCAATCTTGGATATTGTATACTTTCAAGAAAGGGAATACCGCTGGCAATCCACTACTTTTGTGTGAACCATAAATGAGAAATGACACTCATGTTGAGATTTTCAAATTTTTGATGTCATTTTATCCTGTCGATCTCTAAATAAAAATGTTAGATTGAAACAGTCAAAGAAAAAAGATCTTGAACTTTCATCCAATGAGAGTGTTTCTCCACAAATGACATAACTCTTAGATTCTGACTCGATGGTTACCAGTCATGCCAATAGTACAGCTTACGTCATATATACTAGAATTTGGTGACTTTTACCATACTGAATTATCATACCGGTACGTTACATAGTGACCGCTTTCTTGGAGTAAACCATCAATCTGATTTAATAATATCTTCACGTTGGCGACATTACGTTCAGTGTTTATTATATTACAAATACAGGTATGAGTTATTTCATTCTCGGTATAAATATACTGCATACTGAAATCATGGGATCGCGAGGTCTTTAACGTAACAGGCAATAATATAACCCGACACAATTGCCTAATAGATGATCAGTTAATTATAATATTATCTATCATCTATTGCTAATATTATACCCACGCATAAATAACATATACGGAAGGCTATTGTGTATTTACATTCAGGGCATCGCCCACTAGATATCAATTATTATTGATTGCACTGTGGAATTGGTCGAGGTTCATTAGAATACACACCATTTATTCACTTTCATAAAGATTAGTATACAATAAACCAAGTGCGGAGACGATAACAACTCGCTTTAGAGACACTGCATGAGTAAAGTGAGCTCGCGGTTATGGCAAAGAATACATACACAGAACTGCCGATACAAAAAGTGTATATAACAGACGCGTTTAGGCACATAAAAAATTTGAAATTTTTATTTGGTTTGGTACTTAATTTTTTTTTATTTTTAGTGCAATATAATTGACAAAACTCCACAAATAATTTAAACTCACATATAATTCCAAACAAAACGCCTAAAATACCTCATTAATTTATTTTGAATCTACAAATTTTCAAGATCGGTATCAAGCATGATCAAAGAATTCCGGTCGAAAGCAGTTTCCTTTCGATATTTTTGTTTCCATACATATTGAAATACTTCACCACTGCATGTGCAGTTCAATTGTTATTTCACCTTAAAATACAGTAACCGGTATCAGGCATGGTCAGTCCTTCGGTCGAGAGCAGTTTCATTTCGACATTTTCGTTACCATACATTTTAAAATACTTCCTGACTGCCTGTGTAGTTCAATTGTTATTCCTCCTTGAAAATGCAAATATTTTGTCTGAGTGATGCTCGTTCTGGAAAGACATATCCATTTTATTTGATTTTTTTTTTCAATATCCTATTCGTCATTCTTACGAACGTATTTTCCATACACAACAATTATGTGATATCAATATAAGTCTCTATCTATTAATAGCTGATTCAAAGTATTGTTTAGTAAATATATTTACCGGATATTTATACCGAACTAGATGACAATAACATTCGAATACAATATCGAACTCAATTGCAGTCGATGGGAGACCACTTTTTAGAAGTCTGTTTCATTGACAACTGAGGTTGAAATCAAATGACTAAAAGTTTTCTGGTTAATACTCGAGATCCGACGATGATATATATTTATAAAATAAAAAATAAACGTACATTGTTTTGTCTAGAGTTACTTTTTTGGGTGGAATGGTATTATTGAGGCCCATCTAGGTAAAAATTACCACATATGCTACGCTACTTATTAATATATATATTATTCTATAAGTCGTATGCTTCCTACCATTTCTATACCTTCATCAATAAGCTCCCAACGCTAGTGCTAACGCGTAATTGGCTGGTATAACAGCGGTTTCGCCTACGTCAGGAAATGACGTATGATATCCTGTTATCACGTATACAGACTTATGTTGTTTAAGTCACCAGGGTTGCTATTGGTAATTTCCTATGACTCCTTCAAGTAACTTAGTTATAAGAACCCTTTCTGAGGTACATTCGAATACTTTAGGATATGTTTTTGAAATAACCTTAAAACATTAGTCGTGGAGCTAATTAATATAATTCAAATATTTCTCCAGAAGCCATCTTACCGTCATCTTACTAGAACGTATAACTGAAACACATCTGGTTAATCTCAACTTTTTTAGAACATTGTTTTACATGTTGATATATCGCGTACGCATTACTATCATATCGTTACACATAAAATTTCCAATCTTAACTTCTTGATATTTTGAAAAGTAAGAAAAGAATTCATAGGTATCTTCCATATATCTTCAAATGAAGGAAAGAACGGTCTATTCAGAACATACGAGTAAATATGCAAGAATATCGAAAAGCAGTCAGTTTTTTGATTATATATATTTTAATTAAAACATTTCGATCTCGACCACACTTGATCACACAATGAAAAATGTGGTTTAAATAACACCCAAAATTTGAGAAGAAATTATCCCAAATTTCGATCTTGTATGGGCCACAAATATTTTGCGTTGGCAATTGACATAATTAGTATTAATAGGAAAAAACTGAAAAATTCTGCTTTACTGCTGCATATATCTCTCCTTTCTTGGCAAGAAGATGAAAGCCAGAAGATACAAAGATGCACCCTGTCTATATGATCTCAAAACCAATTGTATTCGCCTATTTTGATAGTACACTCATTCATTACCTGAGCGTCTGAAATGCTTCGAATTTCCGATGACAGCTGCATTTCTCGAATACTCTTAAGATTATGACTGTTTTGCATGCAATTTGGTCCGGAAATTTCGCTCAATTGTTTGGGAATTTTGATATTGCAATACAGCATTTTATTATCGAAGAGTCCAAAGATTGAAAGTTTTGAAAATACCAATTGTGCTTTGCTATTGTGACAATCTATGCGAAACTAAAAATGTAAATTTTAATCAAATTTCTGTGGTTTGTGTAAAATGGGTATGTTTTCATATTATATATATGTAAGACGTAAATTTTTATTCAACGTTCGGCAAAATACCGAATCTAATACTAAATATGAAAGCCTGTACGTAAATTCCTTTTTATTACAACTTTATGGTGATAAATATATTCTTATCTCTTACTTTCTACTTACGCTCTATCTTACGCCTGTCTATCTAAAACGTGGCGTACAGTTACATAAACCAGATACAGTTTTTGAATATTAGTGAGCTATTGGACATCAACTTGCAATTAACAATGAACTTAATAATGAACTCACAAGCCTGACGTCTCTCTCATTATTTAACCTTCGCTTAGTGTGAAGTGTAAAATAACTTTGTCGTTCAGATGGTGCCAAATGTATCAATACCAACCACGTGATCTGCATTTTACATGCGCCGTCTTTCATGCTTTCATGTATAACGTGAATGACATCATTGGCAGGAAAAGGGA